ATCTTCTTCTCCTTCGTCTTTGAGGATACCGAGTCTTCTGGCCATATTCTTGACCTTGCTGATGACCTCTTCCTGTACGAGGTTGAAGCTCATGGCCAAAAGCGCGATGCCGAATAGAAGGTAGATGGAGCACAGCGCGATGCTCAGTTCCACGTCCACCTTCAGGTCCTGCGCCGGCACGAAGTCCCCAAAGCCTGTAGGTGAAGCCCAGAAGGGTGATATGGGATCGAGATGGCGGGGGAGGAAGGGAAGGGCGAGGGACGAACAGCGAAATAAATAGGGAAAGAAACACCAAAAGGATTAAGGGGAACGGTGAACCAAGAGGGGCCATGATCCCCTATCCCACGGGTTTGGATCGTTCTGTAGGGCTATTTCGATGGTATTCAAATGCATTAGGATTAGAAACACAAGGGCAAGAGAGGGCGAAAACTGAGATGGAGGAATTATGTAAGAGTGAAAAGCAGATGGGCGAGGGAAGAGAAACAGATAAATGAGAGAGGGAAAAGAAATACACAGAGGAAATGTAATAATAAGAAACAGATGAATGAAAGAGAAAGGAAAGAAAGAGGGGAAATGTAATAATGAGTAACAGATAAATGAGAGAGAAGGAAGTAAGAAAAACAGGGAAACGTAAGAGAGAAACAGAAGGTTAGGAGAGGGAAAAGGAGAGACAGGGGGTTATGCAAAAGAGAGAAAGCATGGGTAAAATATTAGGAAAAAGTAAGCCAGGGACGAGAATGCGAAGGTCAAGTAAAAATGCAAGAAAAGGAGAAACATAAGAGGAGGAAGATAACAAGAAAGATGTAGCAATATAAAAAGGAATTAATTCCTGTCTGACAGCTTTGGGTACAGCTATGCCTCATACAACTAAAACTCAAGAAATGCGTTAGTCACAGACCTATATATAGAAAAGAATTATTGCCAAAACGTTCGTATTTTGCAGCTTAATCATTAAATCCGTTTGCTCGCCGTCCCTTCCTCCCTTACCCCCATCTCTCTCTCTCTCTCACATACACACACCCTCCCCCCTCTCTGTCTCTCACATACACCCTCCTACCCTCCCCCTGCCCCCTCTCCCACTCTCACTTTCTTCTCTCTCTCTCTCTTATCTATCTTTTTCTCTCCTCCCTTTCTTTTCTCTCGGTCTAAGTTTCTTTCTTTATCTATCTATATCTCTCTTTCCCTACCTCTTATTCCCTATATTCGTATTCATATCTATCTCGACCTATCTATCTATTTTTTTTCTTTTATCCCCTTGTCTCTCACTTCCCCTTTTTAATATGACTAGTGCATTTACTTACCAATCTACTAATCTTTTCTCTCATTTCTCTCTCTCTCTCTCCTTCCCCCGGCTCTCTCTCTCGCCTCTCTCTCTCTCTCTCTCTCCTCCTCCTCTCTCTCTCTCCCCCCCCGTGCCACTGACCTATCGTCGTGAGGGTGATGAAGCAGAAATAGACGGAGTCGAGGAAGCCCCATCCTTCCCAGCCGGCGAAGAGGAAGGCCCCGGCTAAGATGTAGGCGAACACCAGCATCACTCCGAGCCAGATGGGCACCGGTTTGTCGCCGCCCATTTCGTCTTCCTCCTCGTCGTCGTAGTCGTCGTCGTAGTCGTCGTCGTAGTAGTACTCTTCATCTAAACGGGAGAGACGACTCCTAGGGTCATGCTGAGGAGGCATGTGGCGAGAGTACCTGTCAGAGTGGCGGGGCGACCTGGGCAGCGGGGGTGAGTCCAAGTAGCCTGCGGGGATGTAGGGCGACATGAAAATGATAAACACTCCTGACGACGCGCGTTCTTTACCTGCTCTGGTCCCTGGCGCCGCGGCGGGGCGGTCGGCGCCAGGGACGCTTGTCACAACAGCCACCAGATGTTACGAGCAAAGGTGCTGTCTCGTCGGCTGTGCAAACCGTTACGCCAGCAGCAGTCACATCAAAGCCACTGTGCATGTTGCAGTGGTGAGACGTCACAATGCGCACAAAAAATCCTATGAAGATCCTAAGAAAATAGAAGAACATCCGCCAGACTTTTCACAACATCAAATATTAACAATAATTAGCCTTTCTCATGAAAAAGAGTTATGAAAACTTTTAAGCTTGTAGCAACTGGACGTCTACCATAAAAAAAATGTCAAAAAGCACACAGGAAGCAAAATCAGTGTCATTCTGAATCATTCTGCATCTTGCAGAATCCACTGAATTCTGATCTCTCTCTCTCTCTCTCTCTCTTTCTTATAGGACATCCATAGAGCGGGGAAGGTAGTGTGAGATTATGAATTTGCTGTAAGACGGATTTTGCCTAAAATTCCAAATCACAATACGAATTTGATCTATTTAGTATTTTCCAAACTTGTGGCACATGGATTTTTCTTCGTGTCTTTGGATGATTTCCTTTATTCTGGAGAAGGCGAGGAATACATTATGTGGCACCAAGAAACCCATTAGAAATTTGCATATGGGTCTACATGTGAAGACTTGAAAAGGGGAGATCCTATTAATTTCCCGTCACTCCTGGCGGAATTAGGCATCGGGAGAGATTCGTATAAGGAGAAATTCGCTAGAAGTAATTTTGCTAAACAGAATGCGTCCCTTTATTCCCATATATATCTGCGTGTGTCAGAATGCATGGGGAAGTTTTCGCGTTTAGAAAAACAAACGGCAAGGATTTTGCGGAGAAACTGTTTGCAAAAGCTGGCACCCAAAAATAAATAAATAAATTTTACCTTTTAAACAGCCGCGTGGATATTTTGCATACATAAGGTCTTAAGAACTAGGATGGGCCATTTCAACCATTATATGACATCAGTTTTCTTTTTATAATTACTCCACAGTTTGAATTATCATTGTTGCTGCCGAAATCTTACAAGGAACACATGAACTGTGCAAAATCTGTATAATTTGTTTGGGAAGAAGAAAAGTGAATATATCTATCTTTTTTTTAAATATATGGTACAGACATTCTCTACTCTGACGCACATTTTAGCCGACATGATTTTAATTTCTTTATATAAGAAGTATATGCAATACAGTTTGATACCCATTTCTTGTTTATACATTTCTGATCAGAAGTAAAATGAAATAAGTTTAAACGTATTTTCCGTGAGAGGTAAACCAGCAACTAAAGATATATTTTCATTGCTGCTTTCCTTTTGAAACAACGCCCTTGTATTCTTCATGGCTGTTCAGATCTTTATTATGGTGGGGAATGCCTTGAAGCGAGAAGTACTTTTCTGTCAATTAAAAAAAAAACAATAAGTATAAGATAAAAAATGGAAAAAAAAAGGAATATACACCTCTGGTAAATTATTGTTCGTCCACTTGAAAGAGGAATAGAGAGTTTCAAGAAAAACCTGGTCAGAAGTCACAGATGTTGAAAGCAGAAGGGAGGAATTGTTCGTCATTCCCACGCAGTGTATAGCAGAGTGCTGGCTGACATTAGAGTGGCAACGGAGGACGTTGGTCATGTCAGCCACCTCCTTCTCCGAACAACAGGCAAAGAAATTTCAGCGAAAACGAGGGGCCATCTTGCAAGAGACACAAAGATAAAGGGATTTATAAGACCGTTACCAATATTGTTGATATACCTTCGACGTAATTGCATCCTTTGTAGCTTTATAGAAGCTATCCCGGAGAAGAAGCAAAAAAGAAATCGGGATAAAGAGAGGGGCGCTTCGAGAACAACGGTGCCTTTGGAAGAAGAGGAGAAAGGGGAACCGGCTTGCACGTAGGTCTGCGCTGTGCGTAACAGAGTGAAAAAAATCCATTCCACTGCGATGAAATGTCATTTCAAAACGATGCTAGATGCAGACATTAGAATATAATCATGAATGAAACGAAGAAAAAATATAATTGCAGATCTCCAGGATGAAGTCATAGACGAAACCTCGACTAACAAGGTCTTGCGCCAGACCCCGTGAAAGCCCTTGGGTGTAAAGAAGACTCTTCGAAGTTCCTGAAGACGGGTGCTCGCTTATCAATGAAAACCGTATACGCGTAAGGGGCCCGAGATGTTCCTTCAGAGGAGAACCACGCCCTTTAGATAGATAGGGTCAGAGGTCAACGGACAGACAACAACAGTCGGGTCACAGGAACAAAAATAACACACAGCAAGAGAAAGTAACAAGAAAAAGCAAGGTTTCACGTTATCACACTAGGCGCAATCTATCTACTGTAGTTATGTATTTACTAAAGTGTGGGTATTTGTGTGTCTGTCTGTCTTCCCCTTCTCTCTCTTTCTATGTCTCACTATATGTCTGTCTGTATGTTTGACTGTCTATCTATCTATCTATTTATCTATCTTTCTTTCCTCTCGTTTAGGCTACCCCCTCTCCACTCTTTCTCCTCTCACTTTCTGTCTTCCTCTATCTATCTTTCTTTCTTGATTTCCTTCTCACTCGGTCTGTGCTCTCCCACTCTATCTATCTATCTTTCCGTCTATCTGTGTCTGTCTATTTATCTATCTATCTTTTCTCGCTTGGTTTTCGCCCCTTCTCTATTCATTTACCTTTATGTATCTAAATATCTATGTATCTATTTCCCTTTAGACAGGTAAAGATAGATAGATAGATAGATAGATAGATAGATAGATAGAAAGAGAAAAGAGAGAAGAAGAGAGAAAGAGAGAAAGAGAGAAAGAGAGAGAGAGAGAGAGAGAGAGAGAAGAGAGAGAGAAGAGAGAGAGAGAGAGAGAGAGAGAGAGAGAGAGAGAGAGAGAGAGAGAGAGAGAGGAGAGAGAGAGAGAGAAGAGAGAGAGAGAGAAATAGAGAGAGGGGGTAAGAGAAAGAAAGAGGAGAGAGGAGAAAGAAGAGAGAGAGAGAAAGAAAAAGAGAAGAGAGAGAAGAAAGAGAGAGAGAGAAAGAAAGAGAGAGAGAGAGAATAGAGAGAGGGGGTAAGAGAAAGAAAAAGAGAGAGAGAGAAAGAAAGAAAGAGAGAAAGAGAGAAGAGAAAAGAAAGAGAGAGAGAGAAAGAAAGAGGAGAGAGAGAAAGAGAGAGAGAGAGGAGAGAGATAGAGAGAGAGACGAGAGAGAAGAGAGAGAGGAGAGAGAAAAAGAAAGGGGGGGGGGGGGTCGAGGATGAAAAGGGGGGGGAGAGGATGAGAAAGAGAGGAGAGAGAGAGAGGAGAATGAGGGGGGAGAGCGTGGAGAGGGAGAGAGAGAGAGCGAGAGAGAGAGAGTAGAGAGAGAGAGAGAGAGAGAGAGAGAGAGAGAGAGAGAGAGAGAGAGAGAGAGAGAAGAGAGAGAGAGAGAGAGAGAGAGAGAGAGAGAGAGAGAGAGAGAGAGAGAGAGAGAGAGAGAGAGAGAGAGAGAGGAGAGAGAGAGAGAGAGAGAGAGAGAGAGAGAGAGAGAGAGAGAGAGAGAGAGAGAAGGAAAGATATATATGAATTATCCGTTTCCTATTCATCACTAATCTGTTAGTGTTCGCCATCCATCAGCTCTCTACACCTCTTGGCAGCATCTGAGAGGTTGCTGGGTTATAATCTTTTACTCACCGCCAATGCCATGTAAACATTTAGAAGTCGCGAGAATACCAGCGATTATCCAGGACATTATATATATATATATAATATATATATATATATATATATATATATAATATATATATATATAAAACCACAGAGTTTATGAATATTCTATACTGTGAGAAAATGACAGAAAAGACGCCTAGTTGCTTTGGTGGAACAAGGGCGTTGCCAGCTGACAGTCACTCCTCTACCGAGCTGGGAAACTTTATACACTTACTCATAAGACCCTCGATCTCCTTCGCCAAAGTGGTAGCAGGGAGAACGACTTTTGCTAATCTACAGATGCAATAAATATATAGGTCTTCATTTCACAACACATTACTGCGTTGAAACTACAAGGCCAGAAATATGGAAATGATTGTATTCAAAATCTTGATACTTAAAAATGTCTTAAATCCAGAAGAGGCAAAATGGCTTTTCATTGCATTTTCTTCTATTAATCATCTCATTTCCATAGATTTTGCCATATGCGAAAATTTTAACTATGATAATATGATAGATACAGAATAAACGATTATAATACTATGGGTTACCTCTGAGATCACTGGTAACCATGTAATATTTTTTCTCCAAATATCCTCGCTAAGAAAAATATTCTGCATTCAGTATATGAACGCAGTATACGTGCATGCCCTATGCCCCGCGATGCCACCGACATCTGGGCAAGGAAGGGGCTGCCCTGAGCGAGAGCGAGCAGTCTGACGATGACCTACCCTGGGCCTCGGTGGCGGGCGGCGGCGGCGCTCGCTGGCTGCGCGGCTGGTGCGTCACCGGGAGCTCTGCGTCGTCGCGTCGGCTGCGCCTCGCCTTGCCGTCTCGGTCCCTGCATGGAGGTGTAAGTAGTAAGTGGTCTTTACTTAACTATCAGCGCTTCCTTACATCCATCTCCCGTTGGGAATCTCTCAAGGCAGACTTACGGCCTCGTTTCGGCGGCGTCTTCTCGGTCCGGAGATCTCTGGTCGTTTTCGGGCGTCAGGCCTTCCTGCTCCAGCGCGTACTTGTTGAACAGCACTGCGAGCCTCCCGTCGTCCTGCATAGAAAATGGGAATCCTGAAGTACACATTCCTTAAAATACATAAAGGCATGGTGAATCGGATCGACTGCCAGCGTGCAACTTAGGACGATATGCAACTATATAAAAATTCTGGCGCCGCCCTCCGAAAGCGTCGTATCAACGCAAACAGTTTCGAGAAAACGGTGTTTAAAGTTCCACCTAAGTGAGTGCGAGCGCCGTGCGTAAGACGTTTCAGGAACCGACCAACATCGTGGAGTATTGTCCTCTCAGTGCATCTCTAATTCACCGTCATGTTACGGGTCCCCCCTTTCTATCGCCGATTTGTCCAGATCGTCATCCAGTATCATCTAATAACTGCAAATTCCCTCCTCCCCCTACCATTCTTGGCTTCCCGCCTGACCATTCGGCCACCGTGCACCAGTTGGTATTAGCGATGGGACCCTGGCATCGAGGGCCGGCAAATTTTCGTGTCTGGAAGACGCAATGATTTATCGAGTTTGATGTGATCAAAAAACGCCTTGGGAAGGCGATAATGAACCTGTTGCGATCAGTTAAGTGCAATGTCTAAAGACAGACTAAGAAAGCATTCATCCTTTATCTAAAAGCGGTTACGTTTTTTTTTTTAAATTGCGAGAACGAAAAGCAGTATGGACTCTGAATCTTTACCATTACTCAGTGGTGTTCTTTTTGCATACGTTTTAACTTATTTAGAAATAACATTTAGGCTACAGACATGATGCTAAGAACCATATTATATATATACATATGAATACATACACATATACATACATACATATTATATATATATATATATATATATATATATAATATATTATATATATATAATTATATATATTATTTGTGCATGTACGTATGTTTTATTATTAATATTTATGACATCTATCAATCATGAGTGGCCATGGATCTGCACCTTGAAGGATGCAGCATGAGTTGGTGCTGGAACATTCTA